GCTGTCTTGATCACTGCTACTTTGATGACCCGCGCTCTCTCCCTTCCCACTCTCTTCCTCGTTGCTTTCTTCCTCGTTCGTTGCTTTCTTCATCTTCACTGAAGCTGGAATCCTTCTTGTTTTCAGTGGTTTCGGTTGCTGCTCTCTTGCCGGCTGGCTTCAGGTTTTGAAGAATTTTTATGTTCTATAAGGGGGTGGGTCATGTTATTGTCAACCTTCATTTAGGAGTGGGTCAATTAATTAGTTTTGTGCCAAAAGGAGGGGGTGAGCCATATGTTTTTTATTTACCACATTTCCAAATGCTCCGGCCCAACCCCCCTCCCCCATACTTTTTGACCAGTCCCTGAAAACAACTTAAAAACATTCCCAACTTCTCTTTATGCTCGTAGCTACGCAGGGAATACCCCGATCTGAAAAATATGTTATACCACTGTAACCAAACAAAAACGGGAAAACACTGCCAAAGAAACGCCAAAACCTGATGTAAAGTGTTCTAAGAGTCAATCAACTGTATAATTTCAGCTCAGGAGGGTTTTTGTAGTGCAGTATTTTCCTGCTTGGCGAGCAAAAAAATAAACCTTAAAAATGTGTAGCGTGTCTGGTATTTAAAACAACCTCGGCTTATCCGTTGTGTAGACAATTTTCATTAATAAGATGATAATCAGCTCATTTTGCCTTGAGGGCAGCACAAACAAGGGCTAAGGTCAATTCTAGAACTGCTGTCTGCCATGCCGCACGTGTGCATTGCGTGAGCGAACTGGTATTTTAGATTGACATTTTTTTTAAATTTTTACCGCTTAATACATGCTTTTAAAAGACTATTCGAATGGAAGACTGACAAAACACCGGGACAAAACTGATAAAAATTCAACCTCGAAATATTGAACAATTAGCATATATTGTCTTTGGTGACACGATCTTTGAATATTTACTATGTCATCGAGCTGGAACAAGTGAGCCGAGCAGTTGCAACTGAGAAAGCAAAACAGCAGTCAGTGGAGGTTGTTCTCGTTTCACAGACAATTCAGAGAATTGTTTACTACAATGAGCAAACGGCAGACCAAACAAGAAACGCACAAAGAGGCTAATTGTGAACTTGACAGGGGAATTTGCGAAGCTAATGGGGTTCTGGTTAACGAAAATGATTGCAAGAATAATAACCTCAAGAAGACAACAACGACACGCAAGTCATGGAAAGAGAAAGATGCCATCGAGCTCGTGAACTTTGATCAAGTTCCTTCGTTTTTCCGTGAACCGTTTATCATTTCAAGCTACCGCAAATGCGACTCCTCGACCTGGTATTGTTTTAGGAGTCTGTTTCAAGCTACCAACGAGACCATCAACATTTGGAGTCATATCTTGGCGTTTGTCGTGTTTGTGTTTCGTTTCATATCAGTGTTCTCGAAACACAACCCTTGGCAAGACTCACACGTGTATCCGCTGTTCTGCTTCGCGTTCGGGATTTGCATTATGTTGGTCATGAGTGTGGGCGCACATCTATTCAACTGTATGTCAGTAAAAGCACGTCACATTTGCTTTTTCTTCGACTATGCTGCCATAAGCGTGTACACCTTTACGGCAGGTCAAGTGTTTTATTTCTATTCCAGACCTGTGAACAATGACATCTTCATTTTCAACGCCCCTTCTCTGTTCCTGGGAATTTCAGCCGCCATTTCTTTCGCGTCGACTTTTGCGTGTTGTTACTCGTTTTCGAAAAAAAACCGCTTTGATGCAGTGGTAAAGGCAGGGACTTACACCAGTTCTTGGCTGTTCAACACGTCACCTTACCTGACAATGCTGTTGTTATGTGACCAGGCATCAACGTGCAGCAGTCATGCGTCCGTGCATTATTTCGCACGCCACTGCCTGTTCTACGCCGGGGGCACGCTCGCGTACGTCTGCCGCATCCCAGAGCGCCTCATGATTGGCGTGTTCGACATCTTAGGTCATAGCCACCATTTTCTTCACATTCTGTGCGCCATCGGAGCAGCAGATGAGTTCTCGGCCGTTGAGCTGGACATGATACAGAGAAGAGCAGTCATGGAGCCTCTCCCATGCGCGACGTTCGCAAACAGCATTTTGCTAACGGCACTGGTTGTTTTGGGGAATATTGCGGTGGTATTGTGGTGTGCAAAGCGGTTGAATCTGCGAGAAAAGTAACTATGTCTCGAACTCTGGGTCGTAGCTAATTTTGATGAGGAGTTCGAGTGGTGCTGCCAAGTGAACCGGGACGTTATTTACAGAAGCAGTCCCCCATCGTTAAAATGTTAAGGCGGAGGTTAACATAAAGGCCGTATTTTTGCTGGGTATTATGGTTCGAATGCAAATATCTCGTTCACGTTTCAAGCAGTGAAAAATCTCTCTGCTCATTTTACGTAGCTACGTTTTGGGCTGTTTTGTAATTTTATGGTGATTTTTGGGTATATTTGGGGATAAATAGTTTTTCTCAAAGGTTTAGTAAAATTTATGGAAATAGGAAATTTTGAACATTTGATGCTGTTTTAAAATTAGAATTTGAAGTTAGAAATTGGTAGACATACACCATGTGGTCGACTAATGAAAAAGGAAAAACTGAGTCTATTTTGCAGGTGTATAAAGAACATGTCTGAGAATAATAACTCAAATTAATCTCGCATTTTGATTGGTTCTTGCTTATGATCTATTGGGGGACAGACGCATAGATGACGTCATTGACACTTTTTTTTGTTGTTTCTTTATCGTATCCTTGTTGCCGTGCGTCTGTTCAGTAATAGATCACAGAAGACGTCAAAGTGTGTTAAGAACATAAGTGACACAATCGGCTATCGCCTCGTGTGCGCGTGCCAGCTCTTTGTTCAGTACCACAATTTGACGTAATCTGTGATCTATTATCGAACAGACGCATGGCAACATGGATTCTATTTGTTAAATGGATAAGACCAAATTCAGACAAGCGGTTCAGTGAAAGGGGTGGCAATTTCCGATGTACTGTACAGTTTTCTTTATGAAAGAAGCTGTTTCTTGCCTGTTTTCGCGGGTAAATTCGCCGGCGTCTTTCTAATAAGAAAGGATCGCTTAAACACGATCAAGCGTTAGTTATTGCCGGCTAGCATTTTACCAATAAACCTGATACTTTTATGGTAACTTTTAAGCCCTGTCCACACTACGCCGGAGACATTTAAAGACGGTGTTGTCACTTTGAAAACGCATCAAATTAATCAGTTTTTCGTTCACAAAACGCCGGAGAAATCAACTTGAAAACGCAAAAATCTCCGGTTATTTCGGAGTTGT